TTCTTGACACCACCGGTGGCTGGTGCACTTTTTCGTGCTGCCTTGGTAGCAAGTTGTTTTCGGGGAGCTTTTCCTCCGGTAGATTTACGGGCAGTTTGCTTAGTACGAGCCATTGTTATTTTCAATTTGAAATTGATGTCCAATTACGAAAATGCAATGTGCTTATATAGTGAGACGTTCTTAGAACAACCAACATGATTGGTTGAGCGAATGCCTAAGATCACGTCCGTAAAGTATGGCGCGTTCATTTCAAAAATGGCTTTGTGTGTCAGAACAGGGAATTAAGGAAAATGTATTGTCGACAATCGTCAATACGAGATACAGTCGAAATTTGTGTCCAGGTGCAGTAATACAATGGATTAATAATATAACATGATAATATTAGTTTTTAACAATAGAACATACAAAATACAGATAATATATATATAGGACTATACATTTATCAAAACATTTAAAAAGGAAGACTAATTAATGGGATATATTGTATAACCACATATTGCAAATTGAGACTTAAAAAAATATGACAGGTTTCATATAAAATACAGGTATTAGGCCTATACTGTATAACGACTATTAAGTGCTATTAAATACAAAAAATAGTCGTGTACAAATGAGTTTCTACATCTAGATATTTTACATCTACTCCATTTTTAAAATATTTCCAAGTAGTATTTGAAGTACATTAGTACTTAGAATTTCGGTTCTAGACTGAAGTATTATATGTGTTCATTGAATTTGAACAAATAACATTTGAATGTTAATAGGTAGTATTTTTACTTAAAATATTTCACAAATTAAAGTACAAAACAATTCTGACATTATTATACAGGTATTCAAAATTGGGTATTATGAAATTATCGGTATTTATTGAAAGTGTTTAAAAAAATGAATTGAATTTAATAAACGGAAAACATTTGCATGTAGGATTAGGAAACAAACAGTAGCCTATTTTTATAAGTACAGTACACAGTATGCCTTAGCCTACTTACAGATATTTGTCTACCCTTAAGATAATATATTGAAGATAATATATTGAATTTACAGTAAAGTACAGTACGAGTAATAGGCCTAAGAAAGTATAATACATACTCTAAGTATTGAAATACAACGCCAGTTATTACTGAAGTTGAAATCATATATTTTTTTAATATTTCACAAATTATTTCAAGGCCGTAGCCAGGATTTGTAAAGGTGGGGGGGAAGTTTTTTTCAGACAAAAAAAAACAAAAAACAGGAGCATTATACTATTTGACTCGTTTTTATCATCAATATTGGATTTATTTAATGGTAAATTTACAATTTTTTTTTAGAGACCAGACGCCTTATTCATTTATTCAGAACCTATCGCCATGACAGACATTAGAAAGTACCTGTACTAATTTTCATGACGTCGATTTTTAGATGACCAGATATGTCACTCTAGAAATTTGTACATACACCTTCAAAAGTGCACTTCTTTAAAAAGGGGGTTCGTTGGAACCACCGCCCCTGGTACGGGCCTGCATTTGCAAATTCTGAGTTATTGAATTTAAAAATTCAAATTAAATACACATCTGTAAGTTGAAATACCATTGTTGGATATTTCAATTAATGCTTTTACTCTTATGTTAGGGCAGTTTTACCATTTTACTAAAATCGAAAAACGAGCATGTTTCTTTTAAAATCATACACCGTCTCTGACGGCGATGAACTGATTTTTTTCTACCTAAAATGATGTGTAATGACATGAATGTGTACATTAACGGAAAGCAATCATTCTCTTTTGTTCAAATCGTGGCTCTGAAAAGAGCCGTTTGGTTTGGGGGAAGATGAGTAGCTTATCCACCGAATCCGTACAGGGTTCGGCCTTGTCTCTTCAAGGCGTAGACGACATCCATGGCGGTGACGGTCTTTCTCTTGGCATGCTCAGTGTATGTGACAGCATCACGGATGACATTCTCAAGGAATACTTTCAATACACCACGGGTCTCTTCGTAGATAAGACCAGATATACGCTTGACACCACCACGACGAGCAAGACGACGGATAGCCGGTTTGGTGATACCTTGGATGTTATCACGCAACACCTTACGATGACGCTTAGCGCCTCCTTTTCCAAGTCCTTTTCCTCCTTTACCACGTCCAGACATCTTGATGTACTGTACTGTTAGTTTTCGAAGTTCGATTCGAAATGTAACTTCAGCATGAATTCGCTAGATAGATCTAGTCTCTATACGGACGTAATATGAATTATCGTGTATCGCTGCCAAGTTGTACACTGCGGCTGACCTTATGCTATTGTTTAGCGGGAGTTTTGAAAGCAGTGGAAATTCCGCCATTTTCAACAAATGTTTGCCTTTGTTTTGGGACCTCATTTGAGAGGGAAATATCTAATTTTTAAATTTAATCAAACATTTAATACAAATCAATGAAAATCGGCCTGAAAATTATTGTATTAGGCATATGTTCTTTGTTCCTTTGAAACTAGTTCCATATTTTAATGAACTTTCCCTTCCTTTTTGGCGGGAGTTTTCCGCCGTGTAGTCTGTATAGATTAATTCCTATTTGGTGTTTTCCGCCAAAACAAGTATCTGTTTATAAACTATAACAACTGTAATCTCTTGTTTTCCTAAACGCATATGAATACTGTATACTTCTCATCACTTATACGAGGGGGAAATAACTGTTTTAATAACACAAACATTTAAAAAAAAAAAAAAAAAAACTCTGGATCAAACCAGAAGTAACAACTCCCTGATCAAACATTGCTTATCAGACAAGTACAATTCATTAGGATATTGCTTTGGGGAGTAGTGAGTGGAGATTTAAATCTTCCAATACTGTACACATACAGTGGGATTGAACCTTGGGAATATAAAATATGCAGAAATTGTGATTGTGTGTGAATGCAAATCCACATACAGTACTACTACTAGGGAACAGTTAATACTACTATAGCTATACGACTTCATGAGTAAATAGAATCCAATCAAGGTAAACACCTCCCCACTACTACTCGCCATACACATTTAACATGTAAAGTCAAGCCGTATAATAAAATATACGGGTGAAACATGTCACAAATGATAATCAGCATGAAGTGGATGGAGTTGTAGATTTGTGTAGAAAAATATACTGTATTGTATATAAATACTGTACAGTATTAAGAAATGACTTCTGTAAAGAAGCCGTTATTTGAAACTCTTGTCATCGATAATGTAATTATATTTGAACAACATTAGTGTTTTGTCACAAGATATTCTGAAATGAAATGTGAAATACAAGTGTGATTTTTGAGGAAAAAGTTGTACTATCAGGAAGCTAGATAATTTGTAATGTAATTTATAATGTTAAAAATGAAATATCTAAATTTAAAAATTCAGGTATCTGTGAAAAATGTAACAGAAAAAAACCTTTAATCATATTAATACTTAGTATACTGTAAACTCATCTAATTATTTCTGTGAACAGAAAAGCTATCGTTCTCTTTTGTTTAAATGGTGGCTCTGAAAAGAGCCGTTTGGGTTGAGAAATACACCGTCTACTTCTTAGATTTCTTTGGAGACTTGGTAGCCTTCTTTGCCTTTGGCTTTTTAGCTTTGGCCTTCTTGGGAGACTTCGCCTTCTTTGGCTTGGCCGCTTTCTTCTCCGATTTTTTTGCCTT